TGTCCTTCCATTTTCACTCCAGCCCCATCTTCATGCCAGATCGATACCAGATCCCTATCCAAGTCACTCTCACTCTCTGGGGTTTGGGTTTTTTTCACAATTATTCCCTCTCTTTCCTGTCTGAACTTCTTTCTTCCTTTCCCTGGCCACCGTTTAACTCATGTCTTCTCTCCTGGGTTTCTCATTTGTCAGTGTCCTTAATCTTTCTTTTTCTGCCAGTCTCTGGGATGAGCTCATCTCTTCTCTCATCTCCCTTCCCCTACCTAATTTCTCAGGAAGTCTGTCTCTTGATTGCCCCTCTTTTTCCCCATACCACTGCCATCCAGCCTCTTAATCCAGCCAGTCCCTGTTCCCCTCCTGTATTCATATCTGAATCTGTGTCCCGTTGGATGTGCGAACCCTCAGCCGGTTACACAAACCAGCAAGAGTTCAGCTAAGGCTTCTGCCTCGACTTCAGGCATGCCTCTGAGTTAATGACTTGAGTTAAAGAATCAGAATTAACTTTGAATTTTCTGGCTTTTGACTTTTCACAGCTTGACATTTTTGTAATGCTTTGTTTTTTCTGGTACTTCAAAAAAGCAGATGGGGAATAGTGTCACAGCAGAATGCATAACCCTGGCTTTGGCAAGTCTGCCACCCCATTACCACGGCTCTCCAGGGCTGGTCAGTGGTGTTGTCCTCGGTCATCCTGGAGCACTGCCCCTCCTGGGGCCACGGGCCAGAAGAGCTACCATTCAGTGTCTCACGCCAAAGCCAGCTTGGCCACCTTGGATATGTGCCACCTTGGATAGGTGGCACCCGTAGTCAGGCCTCTCAGCAGGGATTACGTTGACTGCCAATGGTACCAAGGAACAACAGAAAAAAACAGCCAAATAACTGATGTGACACACTGAAAGACAGCCAACAGGGAAGGGTCAGCCCATGGGCAAAGCAGGGAATTGATTCACCGACCTCCTAGATGCATCTCACTGATTTTCTGCAATACCCTGACAGAAACTAGATACTACAGTGATAGCTAATTTAAAGGTATCGATAGGCAGTCACACTCCAATCTCCTGAATCCCAAATCTTTTCCTTAGTCACACAATCACTCTGTCCCTCTGTCACGGATGGAATGATGCACTTCACTTGAAAGAGAGAAGCAGCAATATCTTTATTAATATAAAACAGCAATTTAATGAAGTTTGATTGTAAATGCAACAGTGGCTTAACAGGATTTGATGGCAAGGTACGATGGTTTAGTTACTGTGCAGGGGACAGTGTAAGTCAGATGCATCAGGCAGACCCTCTCATTGAGTCACAAGGTTCAGAGAGGATACGCTTGCTTTATGAAATCCTACTCAGTTGCTCCTAGGTGTGGCTCGACCAAATCCTAATCCCAAACTTGGTCATTAGTTTGTCTAAAAGGTTATATATGCAAAACCAATCTAAGAGATAATCTTAGCAAAGCTTACAAAGTTTAGCAAGTTATTAGTCACTTAATGAGGGTCTGTGGCAGCAAGGGATCTCTCAGTACGGAGGAGTAAGGAATCTCCATGGCAGGTGTAACCCTGAGAGGCATCCCTGTTCAAGGGGAGATGCTGTCGTGCAGCCCGCTGCCATGCAGGAGAGCTCAAAGGGCCCTTAAGCTGCTCACTATTTATGGGGGTAAGATGATGGACTCATAGTCATATTTGCATAAAGACCACAGATTTTAATTTCTTCCAAATTTTGCATGAGACAGACATTGACCAGCACTGTGGTTAGGTGGGCACATTGCTCAGATTAGCCCTTGGCTGTTGTGGTGTTTTCTCTCTCTCCTGAACGGTGGAGGTTGCAGCCATCAATAGCAGATGCATCCATCACAACCTCCGCTGGTGGTTCTCGCTTGGGCAGGGTTATGGGAGATAAAGGGCAGGTGGAGGGGGTGGTACACCCACGTCTTCCTTCAACTGTGTCAGATGGGGGCTGTGCAAACCATTTCAAAGGGGTGATGGAACTTAATATATTCTAGGAGTGCTTTCAAGTAACTACATACATGGATGCAACTTTGCATAAAGGCATTTTTTAATGAGCGGTGGAGATTTACTGAAGGGATGTAGCCCTGCTAGCCCCCACCGGAGCACTGTACCTCACAGATAACAGGAGGCTGAGTAGCTCCCCCATGTCTACATCCCATCTCAGATGCCTAGAGGGAACAAGTGGAATTAAAAATGCTTGACTTGAACTAAATGCCATCATCTGGATGTTTAAAATGGAATCAATTTAATCTGAAAAAAAAAAAAGATAGTATAATTAGGGGTTAAAGTGTTATTGGGTCCTCCTGAAATGCCATTAGAGACTCTATTCATGTTGTGAACAGCACACCTTTAATCTTAAACTATTTCAGAAGCTCCATTTGTGTGGGTTTTTTTTTGCTCTGCATTTGCAGAAAAGCTCCAGCCTAGGTTAATAATATAGTGGCAGTACTTCACAATGCTCTCCAACGTACAGAAGTATCTATTAAACTGTCAACTGCACTAAAAGATGATATTTTGATGGCAATGGATAGAAACCCATCTTCCTGCTTATGCTACTCAACATTTCTGTAGCTTTCAAGCACAGTCAACCATAATTTGTCAAGGACTTGCATATATGACATTGGCTGAATAGGTAGTGTGAGATACAACTGTGTCAATCAATTTTTCAGTCAAGTCTCACGTAGCATCAACAGACAGCTAATCCCTTTTCCTTCTCTGAAGCTCTTCCTTGTACTCATTCCTGTTCACCCTCTACTTGGAGACCTCTAGAGATGCTGCAGGACATGCCAACTTCGTTGCTGAAGCTGTTCTGCTGATGTCGACCCCTTCCATTGGCAGCCATACCATTATACATATAGAATAAAGAGCAAATTCAGTGCATCCGGCAGGGAAATGTTTCCCAGGACTGAGTTGGCCAGTATCTGTCTGACGGTCTTCTCCCTTTCTGACTAACAATCCCTTTAATGCTGCGCATATCCTAAAGGACATGGTCAACATTTAGTGCAGGTGAAGAAATAGCATTATTTTGGGTGAAAACGTGTTCTTTGGCCACTGTTCGAAGACCACCATAGGAGGGGGTGGGCTCAGCAGTGGTCTCTGTATTCACCTCCTTGAAATGCTATTGCACCTGAAATCTGGAAGAAACAGCAAACTGTAGTTTGTGCCAAAATCTAGGAGATGCAGTTTTAAGCTGGTGATCAAAGTCTTGAAAGTCATTCAATCCTGTCTACATCAAAGACTGCATAAAGTTGTGCTTTTCTCAGTCTAAACCAGTAGAGAATTGTGCTGGTTTAGCACAAGAATAAGACTATTAGAGACAGAAATAAGATTTGCTTATAAATTCTCCACCAAAATCAAATTATTTCATATTTGTGTGTTTCAAGTTGTTTTTTTCTTGTCTTAACTGGACTGATGAGGAAATGGTGGGAGGAAAAGTGCTTCCACCTGGGTTGTTTTAGAAAGGCTCAGCCGCAAACATTATGAAGCCTGCCATGAAATGTTAATCACCCTCATTTGCATTATAATGTAATGGTTCTTAAATCTTAAAGATTACAGGAATCACTACACTGAACTGATAAGAAGATACATACTGTAGACTTACATGAACTACCTGAACACAGTACAATGCTGAAAGAAGTTTAAGGATTTTGTTCTTATGCTCTCTCCGTTTTAAGTCTTTTATGTTCTGAGACCAATGACATGTTGTTATTTGTTTGGCAAGAGCCTGCCTTCTAGAAAGGTATGTAGGAAATGTAGAGGTCACGAGTGTATTCGGTAGATTTTTGTAGTAGGTAATCACCTTCTCCATTAGAAATGTGTACCTCAGAAGTACTTCTATCAGAGGTATTTTCTCCTTGTAAAGCCCTTTGTACACTGTAGTCAAGTTACCTCTTAATATCCTTTTGACCGCAAACCACCTTGAATCACATATTTTTAAGACCTTTTTCCTTAGTGAGTTCAAATAATTTCTGCAGCTATTTTCTACACTCTCTTATTTGCCGGTGTGCTATTTAGAATACGGATACCAAAATGAACACAATTTTCCAGTGTTTTTCTTAGCAGTGTCTGATGAAATGGTAAAATCTGTGTTTATATATCCCAATAATGCATTATGTAACTACATAGGTAATTGATTAAAAAATCCTTTATTGTGTTCAATTAATTGTTTTGTGATCAATTAATCAGAATGATGATTATTTTATTATTTTCAGTTATTGTAGATTTCTAGATGGTGAAAATTGAGGAAAATAATGGTTCTACTGCTAATTATTTATAAAAGCTTTAAACACTTATTAAAACATCACATTGAAAAATAGCACCTTCAAACCTGCCTTTTAAGAATGACATGGCCATGTAGGACTATATATTAAAACGAAGATTATAAATTTGCTGGTTTCCATTGCAGGTATTTTGCATACCTTGCACTTAGAACGCCAATATTTTGGCAGCCAGGTGTTAGCTATTTAGCAGTCCTAGAGGTCATTCCAGAAAGACGGGGCAAACCCACGTGCGAGCAGAGTACTTGGAGATTTCCTCTTAACTTTCCTCAAGAAGTACTCAGAAACTGAGAGCCCGGCTTCAATATTTAAGTCAAGAAAATGAAACATTCATGTGCTGTAGCTAGATATTGGTGCTGTAACCGAACAACCCACGCCTGCCTAAGGTTGGGAATGCACAACTGAATTTATATTCTGGCCATAAAACCTGCATTTAGGGACACAAATTCTAGCCAATCAGACTAAATAAATCAGCAGGCCCAGGTTTTATCATCACAGATAACCCTCATTAATCCAGCTGGCTTTTCCTGAAGACAAAGGACAAAATGAATTGCTTCGTTGGAGTTGCCTGAGCGGCATGCTAATGCGGGGAGGTGGAAGGCATGAATTATTCATGCTCTTGCAGCCTGAGCAGGCAGATCCTGGCTTTTCCTGTTACCATTGCAACAAGTGGTGGCTGGCCCTTCTGTGCTCGGGCCATCGCACATCCCCGGAGAGCGCCGAAATGCCTTCCCGAGAGGGAAAACCGCCCCGCCTGCGCTGCGCCCGACACAGTCGGGTGGATTTTCAGGTTAAGCCTTATGCAAAATGGACCCGGGAAACACAGTCGTTTGTAACTCAAATGTACTTCACCATAAACTACTCTTCTTGGAGGAAAACAGGTTGCTTTGGTAAGTTCGTGCAACTTTTGACGTTTTCTGAATCCGCTGAAAACTCTTCTCGGTTTACAGTAACTAGAACGCGTAGGTTTTTACCAGTCTTTCTAAAAATAGTCTGCATTCTTTTTGCTTTTAAAGTGACTTAAAGAACCCTGAAAAGGCATGCAAAACCTTTATTTTTAACTCTAGAGAATATGTAAAAGGTATCTACAGAACTGACATTAAAATAATAATCAATTCTTCCCAAATTAACTTCTATTACTTAAATTTTCAAATCCCTGTGGAACGCTACTAAAACAAAATATATGATCCAAATTTGATTTCTTGCATTCAAAACTGTGACTAATGTAATTCAGTGTCAAAGTGGAGAGTCTGAAAGAACATGTTACTTGCAAGGAATGTTGTTTCCCTGTTGTTCCCAAGTTGTATTGTTGCTCTTTATTCAGCTACATACATTTCTGATTGGGTTGGAAAGAGGAACTGAGACTTGCATAACATTCTTACCACGCATTAACTATTCTGTTGTATCACAGAATAGTTGAAAAGCACTGGTAACTCACCCAGTTTCTCTAAGGACAGGAATGAGATATTTTTTTATGTAAAGCATATGGCAGTGATGCACTAAGGCTAGATTTATCACTTCTTATAAGGGGAAAAGAATCAAAACATTCTTTCTTTCATATTCATTTACCAATGTAGCTAGCTATAGTAGGTGTTTCAGTTCTTTGTCTGATTTTTCTATTTTCCAGTAGAGTTACTGTCAGCCTTGCCTGAAAACTCTCAGGTAACTCACTACTTGGCACAGTTAAAAAATTGATATAAATACTCAGTTCCCAAGGCCATGGATAGGATTGTGAATATGAAATGAATCATGAATAAGTTTTGATTGTGGATAACAAGCTCTCCCTCTTTTTATTTGTTTGTTTTTAATTACATGGTCCAGATTCTGCTGCTTCTACTTTACTTTCTTTGTTTTGATCATAAAAGCATTTTATCTGACATCCAAAAGACAGCCAAATTTTGAGGGGATAAAAGTACAGCATAATGATATCTAGTGCTAACAGTAATTAAATGCCTTATGTTTTAAGAAAAAAAAAAAAAAAAAGCCCAGGAGGTGAAAATAGGGATATGTAAATAACAGGAGATATGCAAACAATGGATGTAATCCTGCACTCCTTATCCATGGAGGTAATCCTTATGCGGGTAAGTAATCCTGTTGGTTTCAATAGACGCACATCAGTAGGTGCTGTGGCATAAGGCCCATATTTTTCAAGGAGATAACAGTGTCTGTTTTACCTGCTTTTTCTGTAATGTAATTTTAGCAACACAGTTTTTAGTGATGTGTTTGAATGCATTAGTGATAATAGTATATTCGACTTTACCAAATAATCTGTTTTGCTTCTAAAAGTATAAAAGATAAAAATGGAATAATGTGTGAGATGTGTCAGTAAGAAGGTACAAAGCCCACATATTTCATTAGAGGTGTGCTTGCAGTGGGATGGCGCGACTCACCCTGTTGACTGTATTTGTAGATTAATTACTTTTTGGTACATGAGGTATATAAACTTCACTTTGTTTCTTTAAAGTTAGGAAGCGACATAAGCAAAAACTCACTATGACACCTGACATCTCATAAAGTGTGTTTGAGTCTCTGTAAAAATGATGTTGATGAATATTGATCATCTTTTTGATTTAAATACATGGATTTTGTGGTAATGTCCTGTGAATATTTTTATTGCTGTTATGGTCTCTGACCTTGCCAAAATAACACCTGCAGTTCTGCCTTGGGAATAAGGGGTGCGTATAGACGTTGCGGTTGTGTCGCCCTTCTTATCAGCCCAGCTTGGCACCTCCGAGCTTTCCACTCCAAGCCCATATAGTGCTGCCCTGTAATCCTGGATGGGGCTTGGGAGCACCTGTGTGCTCTTCCCTAGGCAGTGCATCTGTTAATGAGGGAAAACTAATTACTTAAAAGCCTTTGGTAGAATGAGGTTGAGAAACATAAATAGTCATGAACTGTTCCTGGTGCTCTGGAAGCCATCAGCTCGAGCTCGTGCTGGATGCACTGGTAGTGCAGATATGAACATTACCCTGTAGCCATTGGAGCTGTTGCTGTGTTATGCTGCTTTCTCTGTGGAAATATTCTCTTGTGTGCACCCTGAAGGGGCCAAAATAGAAATAAAGTAAAAATGCAATATGGATGATGCTTCCAGGTGACATACAAAGCTTACAGTTAAGTGAAGTTGCTATTAAGTACCTGTTGGCTTTTTGTTGGTTGCATTGAGATACCATGAATTAACTGATTATTCTATATTCTGCTTGAATACATGGCAAAAGCTGAGGCTGCATGGCTGTTCTAGGCAGTAAAGTGCCAGAGGCAATAAAATGACTAGTGCCAAGGAAGGGCAGACTGGAAAATGCTGCCAGGGAAGAGTCCAGAGTGGCCCTTGGCAACAGCATTTCTTCTCGCTCGATGCAGGGTCCCAGCAGAAGCATTAAGTCTCTGCAGGTAAGTCCCTCTCTGTCCCCTGCCCACGGGGTCAATTCCTAATCCTTGGAGATTCCACAAGCAGTGGTTCCATACTACCTTGAACTTCACATAGTTGTGAGGGTACTTTTGTCTACATCTTTTCTCCTTTCTTGAATTATACTTTAAAAAAAAAAAATCACATGCAGCTACTTTTGTCCAAAGATCTGGTCCTGGCAATGGCCAGAGGTGAGGTGCCCATTTTAATTTTTACTACATTTCATGAGTTTTAAAGATGGCAGTTAAAGCTAATTTATTCAAGTCTTTAAAACTTGGCCAAAGTGCTCTAGAATGGTTCAGCTCATGTTGTATCAAAACCCATGTGTGTGGTGATTTAGAGTAGCCTGGTTTTTTTTTCCTTGTGCATACAGACTACATACAGTAAGAGGCGGTTTCTGTAATCACTGACATGTCATTCTCATGTCCTTCACCAGCAGATGCCCATGTCTCCTTGCTTCCCACCCAAGAGAGGGGGCAGGGGGATGCATAGTCTCTGCTGTTTCCCGAGGGTAGAAGTTCTGTGAGAGCAAAGCTATGGGAGTGCATGCTGCAAGCGACGGTATGGGCAGGTTCTTCATGGTTTGGCTGCATTCCCTCCTTTGTGTAAGGTGTATTTTGCTGCTCTTTGGGGTTGGGGACACAAAGACAGTGTGCATTGTGCCTCTTCTGCCCGGCTTTGGGCATTGCTACAGGTGACAGACTTTGCTGCCTCAATCTGGGAGCATACTTAGGGCTTCCATTGCAAAGTTTGTTTAAATGGCAGTTACGCCCTGTGAAGATATTTTGAAACAACACCAATCTCCAGTTCTAAGACCAGGTAGTACACAAAACAAAAGCAAGCTTTAATCTGCAGGTAGAGGAAATTTTCTAGCTGCTCTTCTGCAAATGTCTGGGAGCCAGTGGCAGAGAAAGCAGAAAGACTGGAAAAGTCAGCGTGCAGCCCGCACAGCATGCAGATTGAGCAAGGTCTGGGAGCGTGGCCCTGGGAAAGCTGAGCGCTGGCTGAACATCAACCACTCGCTTCACTGCTCCCCCAGGTCAGAGCCACATAGCAAACTCCAGCTAAGGTGGCACAATGTGGTCACTGACTCTGGAGCAGAGTGTGGAGCAGGAGATATGTCACACAGTCCAGCATGTCCTTACACCGGGACTTGCCATGTTTGTTGTGTAGCACCTCGGGGACAGCAGTGCCACGTGCATAACCAGGGAGCAGGATCCAGCAGAAGGGAACCACAAGATATGGAGATGACTCAGTTTGGTCTTTAACCATAACAAAACCATAAATCATCATAACTACCTTAATTATATGCTTATTAGTAGCTGCCTTGGCTTCTAGTGGAAAACCTGAACAGGTATGACTATACGTATTAAGTCTGACAACAGCACAGATAAGACTCCAATGCATATGAACTCCTTTTCACTTTTCTCCGTGTGTTCCTTTGCTGTAAATCCCATTCCATGTCTGAGCACAGCCAGGCCAAGAGGAACACCAGTCCTTAACCTCTTTGCAGTCCAGCCAAATGCAAGCCCAAGCTGGTATCACCCCAGGGCACGTTTCAAGAGTGTTCTGCCTTTGAACAACATTGGTCTAGTTTCATGTGACATTTCTGTCTCTGAGAGGGAGAGTTGAGCAGAGGATGGTCACACTGAAGCCTGTGTGTGCGGTCCCAGGCTCAAGTCTGTCTCAGATGACCATCAGTGACGTGCAACATGCATCAGTCGTGGTTGTGTGACGGTGTAACACATCGTCACACTTCCCATGGCTTGTAAAATTCATGCACGCAAGATTTGTCCTCAAGTTTTGAAGTGCATAGTTCTTTGGGAAAGTGCATTTCTTCCTCCCAGTTAGTTAATTAGTTTAGGAATTAGCTCACCTCCTGAGCAGTTTTTTCTCTGTGTGTCCACCCAGTAGTGACACCTAGTGATGTCCAAGGAAGATCTGATTTCTTGAGCAGAAGAGCGGGTAGGGGGCAAGAGGAGAGAGACCCAGACTCACCACCTGCAGTTGAAGCAGAAGAAATCATTCAGAGCTACAGAAAGGGAAGTTCTGAATGTGAATGTCAGCCTTAATATATTTAAATGAAAACGACTAATGATTGACAGTTATTACTAACAGGCAGAAAGCAATTGTTTTTATAACCTGCATTTGAAGAAATCTAAGCTGTAAAGTATATTGAGGGTCCATCCCACAGCCTTGCCAACATAGCCATAGCTGACAAATGAAGCATCTCCTCCAAGTCAGTTAGCTATAGTAGATGAGTAAAAAACACCAACTGAAAACAACTTATTTCACAGCCTTCAAGAACTGTCTTGTCTATAGTACGTCTTGCTGTGCTGTGCCGGGAGTGCAATTAGCTGGAAGAGTGTGTTCATTTTCATTCATTAGTTGGCAGTAGTGTCTTTCAGAATGATCTCTGGCATTATGAGCAGTAAATGATGGTATGCTTTCAAAGGTTAAACTGTTTGATTTTTTTAGTATAATTCC